GAGGCGGGAGCTGCGAGCGGGAGCCCGAAAGCACGGTGAGAGCAGCCGCCCTAACTCGAGGGCGGGCGCGCGGGCAGACCCCGGGCAGGGACCCCCGGCGGGAGAACTCTGGGTGGGGAGAGGCTGTCCGCGGTCTGTCGGTAGAGGCTTCGGTCCGAGGGCCCGAGGGCACCGCTTAGGGCCGCGCACCGCCCCAAATTGGGGACTTCAGGAGGTAACTTCCCCGGGGCTTGTCCCTGCGTCTGTCTCCAGCCTGCGGGCTGAGCAGCGCCGTCCCGGGCCCTGGCTTGCGCAGGGCGGGGGTGGCCGTTCTGGGAGCCGCCCACCCCTGCCTGGCGTAGTCGGTGTGGGGGAGGGTGCGGTGTCCGGGACCGCAGTCCCGCCCGAGTCCCGCTGCCCTGCGGTGGCTCGGACACGCCCTCGGGGCTGGGCAGGGCTGGGGGCCCCCTGGGGCTGGACCCGCAGGCGGGGTCTCGCTGGGTCTGGCGGGAGTGGGTCTGAGCACCGAGTATCGGGGACCGAGGGGACGGGGGTGTGCGGGAGAAGCGGAGGCTCGGAGCTCCGAGCGCAGCCCCGGGCAGGCCAGGCCGCGCCTTGCGGGTGACCGTCTGCGGCGCGGCAAAGAGCAGCCCCGGGCGGCCAACGGAGCCCGGGAATCCTTTCAAGTTCTGGGTCTTCTTTGTTGCGCAATCGAGCCCTGGGGCCACGCGGCCTCATTGGCCGGGGCCCGTGACGTCACGCCGGCCCCGCCCGCAGACCCTGCTGCGGAGGGAGTCTTCCGGGCTGTGGGTCCCAGGCCTATGACCCCTGCAGCCTGCGCTTTGATATGAGAGCGGAATGGGGACCCCATTGGAGGGAGCCCAGCCTGGGGTCCGGCCCCAAGTGTCCCTTGTTCATGAAAAAAGAACAGCAAGTGTGTGATCTGTGGGTCACCATTCTGGAGAAAGGGGGACTCCCTATTCCCTTAGAACCATCCCCCTCTCACTCTGAATTTGGAGGTCTTGGTGTACACTCCCCACTCTCACCCTAGTGACATTCGTCTCTGATCTCAGGAGTCCGGCGCCCGAAACCATCACTGACACTTCCCTCCCTGTTTTGCACTAGGCTGCAGCCTCAGTGTTCCCCTCTGCAGTGTGGGAACAGTAGGGTCCACCCTGCAGGGATAGGAGGCTCATCTTAACTAGAGGAGAAGAAGAAAAAAAAAAGCCTTGTTCCTGAGCATTTTGGGATTTGAGAGGTCCAGATTTAAAAAAAAATTTTTTTTTGAGAGAGAGAGAACATAGATTTGTTGTTCCATTTATTTATGCGTTCATTGTTTGCTTCTTGTATGTGCCTTGACCCGAGATGGAACCTGCAACCTTGGCATACCAGGATGATGCTCTCCCTAACTGAGCTACCCGGCCAAAGCCTGAGAGGCCAGGATTTTTTATGAGGCATACTGAGTTTGGATCCTCGCTTTGGCACATAGTAGCTTGGGCAAATGGTTTTACCTTTCTCTGCCTCTGCTTGACCATCTTTAAAATAGGGCTGGTGACATTACCCAGCACACAAAATCACTGGGGATGCTCACTGGGTGGAGTGTGCCTGTTCACAGGAGGATGCTTCCTCCCTATACCCGCAGGGCATGCTCCCCTGCCTGCAAACCTAAAGCCTTGCCCTGCAGTGAGGCCCCATTACGCTAGACTAGGGGATCACCTGTTACATGAAGGGTTGTGCCAGTGGTAGCCTGTGGCTCCTTCCCCACCACCCTGCACTAGTGTCACAGGGGTAAGACAGAGCCTGCTTGGGCATCTCAGGGAAGGCCTCCCAATCGGCCAGCTGACGTGGCCCAGTGCAGGTGGAAAAATGCTGACCCACCAGGTGCATGCTGAATCCAGTTTCCTATTTGATAATTCAAAGATCACTGATGACTGCAGCCTCTGGACCATAGGAGCACCCACACTCTGCCTGCTCTGGACCCCAGCAGGCTGCCAGGCACCCCACAGGGCTGGGGGCAGCCCTGTGGCCTCCTCACCCCCAAAGCTGGCCTGTCCCAAGTGCTGATCAGGGAGACTCTGTGACCCACACTTCCAAGCTTAGTGTTTTAGCCCTTAAGAGACAGTGTAGGTGAGCGAGCCGGGAGGGCTTTGGTGCAGACATCTACATGGCAAGCATCTATTGAGCACTTACTGTGTGTCCGGCTCCATGCTAAGCACTTCCCCTGGCATAGCTTATTGAGTACCTACAGTGCTTTTCAAGGTAAGTACTATCATGTTCAGCTTACACATAAGAAAGCCAAAGCCCAGCTGAGTGAAGGAACTAGTGGGGAGCTGGAGTCTATCAGCTCTTACCTCACATTGTGTGGCTCTGTATGCTGAGGTCAAGGAGGTTTGCTGGACACTGGAATAGCTGCTTCAAGGGTCCAACAGGGCCACCCTGCCTCCCATATTGGGCCTGGGATGGGGAAGGGAAGGCCATTCTGCAAGCGGAAGCCTCACATTGAGAAGGAGGCTTCTGACACCAGAAGTCCCAAGAGCCCCTTAGGAGGCCCTTAAGGGACACTGGTGTGTTCCATCCAGAATGGACTCCTCCCCTGGGCCAGGGGTCTGGGCAGGCCCACAGCAGAGACACCAAGATGAATGACACACATCCCTCAGAGGTCCCTCAGTGTCCAGGGGCATCAGGCCACAGACAGACCGAGAGAACTTCGGGCAAGACAAGCATGGGCCAGGGCCTGGCTGTGCTGGGAGGTGTGTCCTCTGCCCTGAGCGCTAGGGTCCTACAGTGGCCTGTCCATCCCAAGCTAGAAACAGTCCCTGGCAGATCATATGGCTCTGTGGGGCCACAAGTGCGGCCAATGAGATTAAATAGGCTCCCCGATGNTGCTGGGAGGTGTGTCCTCTGCCCTGAGCGCTAGGGTCCTACAGTGGCCTGTCCATCCCAAGCTAGAAACAGTCCCTGGCAGATCATATGGCTCTGTGGGGCCACAAGTGCGGCCAATGAGATTAAATAGGCTCCCCGATGAGAAGGGCCAACTGTAGACAGAGCACACAGAGAACCTCCACTTAGCGTACGCTTCTCCCCACACTACCTGCTCCAGGCTATGGCCAGAGGGGCCTGTCATCGGGGCCTCACATCAGGGACTGGCCAGCACTCCCCACTGGAGGCAGCTGAGGGCTGCCAGGCTGGCAAGGGGGAGGGAGATACTGCCCAGCCCTCCAGCAGGATGGGGCAGTTCTGTCTTGGATCAAGGTCTGGTCCCTGACCTGTGCCCAAGGCACCTGTAACAATACCACCACCCAGAGCACCCACTGTGCATAAGACCTGTCCACCCCAGCCNGAGGCGGGAGCTGCGAGCGGGAGCCCGAAAGCACGGTGAGAGCAGCCGCCCTAACTCGAGGGCGGGCGCGCGGGCAGACCCCGGGCAGGGACCCCCGGCGGGAGAACTCTGGGTGGGGAGAGGCTGTCCGCGGTCTGTCGGTAGAGGCTTCGGTCCGAGGGCCCGAGGGCACCGCTTAGGGCCGCGCACCGCCCCAAATTGGGGACTTCAGGAGGTAACTTCCCCGGGGCTTGTCCCTGCGTCTGTCTCCAGCCTGCGGGCTGAGCAGCGCCGTCCCGGGCCCTGGCTTGCGCAGGGCGGGGGTGGCCGTTCTGGGAGCCGCCCACCCCTGCCTGGCGTAGTCGGTGTGGGGGAGGGTGCGGTGTCCGGGACCGCAGTCCCGCCCGAGTCCCGCTGCCCTGCGGTGGCTCGGACACGCCCTCGGGGCTGGGCAGGGCTGGGGGCCCCCTGGGGCTGGACCCGCAGGCGGGGTCTCGCTGGGTCTGGCGGGAGTGGGTCTGAGCACCGAGTATCGGGGACCGAGGGGACGGGGGTGTGCGGGAGAAGCGGAGGCTCGGAGCTCCGAGCGCAGCCCCGGGCAGGCCAGGCCGCGCCTTGCGGGTGACCGTCTGCGGCGCGGCAAAGAGCAGCCCCGGGCGGCCAACGGAGCCCGGGAATCCTTTCAAGTTCTGGGTCTTCTTTGTTGCGCAATCGAGCCCTGGGGCCACGCGGCCTCATTGGCCGGGGCCCGTGACGTCACGCCGGCCCCGCCCGCAGACCCTGCTGCGGAGGGAGTCTTCCGGGCTGTGGGTCCCAGGCCTATGACCCCTGCAGCCTGCGCTTTGATATGAGAGCGGAATGGGGACCCCATTGGAGGGAGCCCAGCCTGGGGTCCGGCCCCAAGTGTCCCTTGTTCATGAAAAAAGAACAGCAAGTGTGTGATCTGTGGGTCACCATTCTGGAGAAAGGGGGACTCCCTATTCCCTTAGAACCATCCCCCTCTCACTCTGAATTTGGAGGTCTTGGTGTACACTCCCCACTCTCACCCTAGTGACATTCGTCTCTGATCTCAGGAGTCCGGCGCCCGAAACCATCACTGACACTTCCCTCCCTGTTTTGCACTAGGCTGCAGCCTCAGTGTTCCCCTCTGCAGTGTGGGAACAGTAGGGTCCACCCTGCAGGGATAGGAGGCTCATCTTAACTAGAGGAGAAGAAGAAAAAAAAAAGCCTTGTTCCTGAGCATTTTGGGATTTGAGAGGTCCAGATTTAAAAAAAAATTTTTTTTTGAGAGAGAGAGAACATAGATTTGTTGTTCCATTTATTTATGCGTTCATTGTTTGCTTCTTGTATGTGCCTTGACCCGAGATGGAACCTGCAACCTTGGCATACCAGGATGATGCTCTCCCTAACTGAGCTACCCGGCCAAAGCCTGAGAGGCCAGGATTTTTTATGAGGCATACTGAGTTTGGATCCTCGCTTTGGCACATAGTAGCTTGGGCAAATGGTTTTACCTTTCTCTGCCTCTGCTTGACCATCTTTAAAATAGGGCTGGTGACATTACCCAGCACACAAAATCACTGGGGATGCTCACTGGGTGGAGTGTGCCTGTTCACAGGAGGATGCTTCCTCCCTATACCCGCAGGGCATGCTCCCCTGCCTGCAAACCTAAAGCCTTGCCCTGCAGTGAGGCCCCATTACGCTAGACTAGGGGATCACCTGTTACATGAAGGGTTGTGCCAGTGGTAGCCTGTGGCTCCTTCCCCACCACCCTGCACTAGTGTCACAGGGGTAAGACAGAGCCTGCTTGGGCATCTCAGGGAAGGCCTCCCAATCGGCCAGCTGACGTGGCCCAGTGCAGGTGGAAAAATGCTGACCCACCAGGTGCATGCTGAATCCAGTTTCCTATTTGATAATTCAAAGATCACTGATGACTGCAGCCTCTGGACCATAGGAGCACCCACACTCTGCCTGCTCTGGACCCCAGCAGGCTGCCAGGCACCCCACAGGGCTGGGGGCAGCCCTGTGGCCTCCTCACCCCCAAAGCTGGCCTGTCCCAAGTGCTGATCAGGGAGACTCTGTGACCCACACTTCCAAGCTTAGTGTTTTAGCCCTTAAGAGACAGTGTAGGTGAGCGAGCCGGGAGGGCTTTGGTGCAGACATCTACATGGCAAGCATCTATTGAGCACTTACTGTGTGTCCGGCTCCATGCTAAGCACTTCCCCTGGCATAGCTTATTGAGTACCTACAGTGCTTTTCAAGGTAAGTACTATCATGTTCAGCTTACACATAAGAAAGCCAAAGCCCAGCTGAGTGAAGGAACTAGTGGGGAGCTGGAGTCTATCAGCTCTTACCTCACATTGTGTGGCTCTGTATGCTGAGGTCAAGGAGGTTTGCTGGACACTGGAATAGCTGCTTCAAGGGTCCAACAGGGCCACCCTGCCTCCCATATTGGGCCTGGGATGGGGAAGGGAAGGCCATTCTGCAAGCGGAAGCCTCACATTGAGAAGGAGGCTTCTGACACCAGAAGTCCCAAGAGCCCCTTAGGAGGCCCTTAAGGGACACTGGTGTGTTCCATCCAGAATGGACTCCTCCCCTGGGCCAGGGGTCTGGGCAGGCCCACAGCAGAGACACCAAGATGAATGACACACATCCCTCAGAGGTCCCTCAGTGTCCAGGGGCATCAGGCCACGGACAGACCGAGAGAACTTCGGGCAAGACAAGCATGGGCCAGGGCCTGGCTGTGCTGGGAGGTGTGTCCTCTGCCCTGAGCGCTAGGGTCCTACAGTGGCCTCTCCATCCCAAGCTAGAAACAGTCCCTGGCGGATCATGNATCATATGGCTCTGTGGGGCCACAAGTGCGGCCAATGAGATTAAATAGGCTCCCCGATGAGAAGGGCCAACTGTAGACAGAGCACACAGAGAACCTCCACTTAGCGTACGCTTCTCCCCACACTACCTGCTCCAGGCTATGGCCAGAGGGGCCTGTCATCGGGGCCTCACATCAGGGACTGGCCAGCACTCCCCACTGGAGGCAGCTGAGGGCTGCCAGGCTGGCAAGGGGGAGGGAGATACTGCCCAGCCCTCCAGCAGGATGGGGCAGTTCTGTCTTGGATCAAGGTCTGGTCCCTGACCTGTGCCCAAGNCACTGGAGGCAGCTGAGGGCTGCCAGGCTGGCAAGGGGGAGGGAGATACTGCCCAGCCCTCCAGCAGGATGGGGGGCAGTCTTGGATCAAGGTCTGGTCCCTGACCTGTGCCCAAGGCACCTGTAACAATACCACCACCCAGAGCACCCACTGTGCATAAGACCTGTCCACCCCAGCCTCCCCCTGAAGTATCCTTGTCCCATTACAGTGGGGGACAGGGGTGCAGGGACCTTGCTCGAACCACACAGCGAGAATGCTGGAGCCTATGGTGGAGTGGAGGCCTTCCAGGATGTGGAAGGCCAGCTGGGGGTTCACCAGATCACCCCTACCTCACAGGGGAGGTTTAGGGGACTCACCCTCCCAGGCACATCCTCATTTTGCCAAATGAAGTGGGACAAATTAAGATGAGGGTCCCCGGCGTGCACTGAGGGAGCCTTGCAAGGGCTGTCCTAGGATTTGGGGATGTTTGCTAGCAAGAGGGCTTGTTGCGGGATAGGGCCAATTGCACACATGGCTTGGGATGGCTTGGGATGGCAGGGATGGCTTGAAAGGAAGCCTAGATTCTACACATTAACCAAGAGTGGCGGGAATGAGGAAACATGCACTTATTAGGGACCTGGGGTGCCAAGGACAGGGGCCACAGACAGTGGAGAGGAGAGTGAAGCAGCCCAGCGTGAGCCAGAACCAACAGGTGATGGCATACTGGGTGAACCTCTCCATCTCCCACCCCCTGGAGCCCCGCCCGATGCTATAGCTAGAGGGAGAGTCACTGAGCACTCATTGGCTTCTCCCCCACTGCAGATGCTCGTGGTCCCTGGTGTCCTCGGGTCACCCGGTGTGAGGGCTGCTGCTCCGAGCCAAGGCCTGGCTTCGAGGAGGATGCCCCAGCTGCCTGCCAGCTCCTTTCTGCACCATGAGTGATGAGCGGCGGCCACCTGGCAGCGCTGTGGGCTGGCTGGCATGCGGAGGCCTCTCCCTGCTGGCCAATGCCTGGGGTATCCTCAGTGTGGGTGCCAAACAGAAGAAATGGAAGCCTCTGGAGTTCCTGCTGTGCACGCTCGCGGCCACCCACATGCTCAATGTAGCGGTGCCCATCGCCACCTACGCTGTGGTGCAGCTGCGGCGGCAGCGCCCTGACTACGAGTGGAACGAGGGCCTCTGCAAGGTCTTCGTCTCCACCTTCTACACCCTCACTCTGGCCACCTGCTTCTCTGTCACCTCCCTGTCCTACCACCGCATGTGGATGGTTCGCTGGCCTGTTAACTACAGGTGAGCCTCTGGCATGTGCATATGTGCACTTGAATGTCCGTTGTGCTTGGAGAGGGGCACCTGTGGGCATGAACACAAAGACCACCTGGTGTACCTGTGTGCATGATGCCCTTGGTGTGGTGACAATGCCCCATGTGGGGTGCCACACCTGTGTTGTGCTGAGGGCGGGCAGAGTGGCTCAGGAGGGGCCCCTCGGGGCTGTGGGGGCATGCACATGTAGGGATGCATGGGTGTGCAGTGTCCGGTACAGAAATGCTTGGTGAGAAGGACATGTGACAATGTGCATGAGTATCCCCTGTGCAAGGGACAAAGCCCACCATGCTGGTTGTGGCATGCCTGTGATGTACTGGGGGCCAGGGCAGTTGGGGATCCTCTGTAGGTCCCCAGGGCCCTGGAGAGACCCTGTCAGTGACACTGAGTCCCTCTGTCCTACCCCTACCCCGTGTCAGGCTGAGCAATGCCAAGAAGCAGGCGGTGCACACGGTCATGGGCATCTGGATGGTGTCCTTCATCCTGTCAGCCCTGCCTGCTGTCGGCTGGCATGACACGAGTGAGCGCTTCTATGCCCACGGCTGCCGCTTCATCGTGGCTGAGATCGGCCTGGGCTTTGGGGTCTGCTTCCTGCTGCTGGTGGGAGGCAGCGTGGCCATGGGCGTGGTCTGCACAGCCATCACCCTCTTCCAGACGCTGGCTGTGCGGGTGGGGCGCCCGGCGGACCGCCGTGCCTTCACCGTGCCCACCATTGTAGTAGAGGACGCGCAGGGCAAGCGCCGCTCCTCCATCGATGGCTCCGAGCCGGCCAAGACTTCGCTGCAGATCACGGGCCTGGTGGCCACCATTGTCTTCATCTACGACTGCCTCATGGGCTTCCCCGTGCTGGTGGGTGAGCCTGTCGGTTGTGGGAGCCTATCAGGGGACGCGGGCTCTGGGACGGCCCTAGGGCGGACACACTGTAGGCATCAGGTGCTCGAATCCTCATACCCAGCCCTCTAAGGGGGGCATTATCCATGTCCCCACTTTACAGGCTTGGAAGCCGAGCTTCAGAGAGGTAAATGACCAACCCAAAGTCAGGGCAGCCATGGTGGGACTTGAACTCACCCGGTGACTTCACAGCCCAGGGCCTTTCTGCCACATTGCAGGGACCTTGCTCACCGGAGTGAGGCCCATTCAATGCAGAGGGTATGAAAGGTGGGGTAACATGCCCACAGGCTTCCTGGTGGGTCCAGGTCCTAGGATGTAGAGAGTGAGGCTTTGGTGTGGCACAATCAGCTTTGGATTGGGAGGCAGGACCAGCTTTGAATGTCTGCTGGGGAGCTGGACTTCGTCCCAGGGCTGGGGAGGTGAGGTCAAGGTGAGATCTGGTCTGAGGAAGGCCCTGCCAACAGGGTCCAAGGTCCACCGAGGCTAACTGGGGTCCTGCCGGGCCTGGGCCTAGCTCTGGCCCAAGAATGAAGTCTAGACCTAAGAGCCAGGCCTTCCCACCCATGGGTCTCTAGCCCAGCCCCCTGAAGAGTCTGGAGCAGGACAGATTGGGGTGTAGGGACAAGGACCAGGAGAAGCTTCATCCAAACAGCTGGGTAGGTCTTTGTCCCTGGAGACACTGCAGGACACAAGCTCAAGAAGGTGACAGGTGGGGTGGCAGCCTCATAGTCAGAGATGCAACCCCTAACCACCTGCTGTTCCATCTTCAGTGGACCCAGCACCCCCCAGGTACAGGTTCCTCCTATGTGCAGTGGAGCCTGGGGTCCCCCGCCCTGTGCTGAGGGGGAGAAGTGTGTATGAAATTGCCCCCCAGCTTCTCTTCAGGGCAGGAAAGGGGGTGCTGTTTATGGAGCCCACTCCATGCTGCAGACCTGGTACAGTGTCTAGAATCTTTGTCTCATCCTGTACGGTGTTCTTGGCCCATTTTACAGATGAAATTGAGCCCCAGAGAGGTTGAGCACCTTTCTGAGGGGCACACAGCTCATATGGCAGAACCAACGTGATGTCTGCATCATGCCGTCTTCCTCTCTGATGGGGGACTAAGTTAAATGTTACTCTGGGGGTGGGGGAATGGGAGAGGAGGGATGAGGGACCCTGGGCAGTGACCCAAAGGCCACCTGGCTGGACCCTCTGATCCTCAGAAACTGCTCAGACTCCTCCTCTGGGGCCTGAGGCCTAGACCCCCAGTGTATGGGCAGAGCCAAGGAGGCCACTGCCATGCGGAAGTAAGGAGGGCAGAATTGTCCCTGAACTGGGAGGCTTGAGACCGGCTTCTCCAAGCCTGTTTCCTCTTCCCAAAAAGGGGGTGGTAATCCATGCCTGCACCCCTGTCCTCGGGCAGTCATGGGAGTACAATGAGGGAAGTCATGCCCAGTGCTGCCTGGTACACGGGGCTATGACTATCTTGGCAGCCAGCAGCTCTCAGTGGGCAGGGCTTCTGCCCTCACTCTCTGGCTCTTTCCTGCCCTCGAGCCTAGAGCTCTGTCTGCCACCACTGCCCCTCCTCTGGCAGGCGGGCAGTCAGACGTGCCATCCACATGGGAGAACTGAGTCCGGGAGGGGAAGCTGTAGCTGTGCGATGGGGGTCCTGCCGAGTGCCAGGCTGAGCACTGTGCCCACAGGTGGTGAGCTTCAGCAGCCTGCGGGCAGACGCCTCGGCGCCCTGGATGGCGCTGTGTGTGCTGTGGTGCTCAGTGACCCAGGCCCTCCTGCTGCCCATATTCCTCTGGGCCTGCGACCGCTACCGGGCCGACCTCAAGGCTGTCTGGGAGAAGTGCATGGCCCTCATGGCCAACGATGAGGATTCCAGCGATGGTGAGGATGCCCTGAGAGTGGCCCCTGAGGAGAGGGACATCTGGGTGAGGTCACTGGAGTCACTGGGATAACAGGTGTAAGGTGACCACCCCATGGCACTGAGGTGATCCCATTGTCAACCACTAAACATCCCGTTTTACTCCCAAATGTGCTTGATCCCCTAAGGGACCCCTGTGTCCCATGGGGCATTCTCCGATCCCGCTTGCCTGCCCCAGGCAATAGCTGTGGACACCAGCTACTGTATGTGTTCGGAGCTTCCAACCTTAGGGGTCCCCAGTGACTCCTGCAGACCCAGGTCCTATCTCCCCCACCAATGACAATGCTACCCTAAGCTAAGACCTTGCCACATACCAGACACTGTCAGCCCCTTGTGTGAACTTAGTCTCCCCAAACTCATAAGGTAACCTTAGGTCGCACCCCCATTGACAAGGAAACTGGCTCAATGTGTGACTTCCTCAGTCCCAAAGTTAAAAGGTGGCAGAGTCAGGATTTGCACCCAGGACCCGGCCCTTCCTCTTTTCCACTAACCAGCCCTCTGCCCTGCGAATGCCTGTGGGGGACCCTGGACTAACATGGATGCCCCCAAGTTTCCCTGACCCTAAGCTTCTGCCCCACCCTGCAGATACCAGCCTGGAGGGTGGCGTGCCCCAGGACCTGATGCTGGAGCGCTCCCTCGACTACAGTTACGGGGGCGACTTCGTGGCCTTGGACAGGATGGCCAACTACGAGCTGTCCCTGGAGGGGGGCCTGCCTCAGTTCTACCCGCTTGGGCCCTTGCAGGAGGACAAGATGCAATACCTGCAGGTAAGGACAGGGCAAGGCACCCAGTGCGAAGGTGGGGGGCATCCTGACCTCCCCCAGGACTTTCCCCTCGGAACCCGTCTCATGCCTGCCGCAGCTCGGGGGTGGCTTTCACCCTCCCAGGATGGGCCAGGTGGGGCACCCCAGCCCCTGTGCCGTGCTCCCCTGTGCTGCGGGAGAGTGGTCTCTCTGGCGCCTGTTATTTCCTCGGGCAGCACCGCACTCCCGGGCCTTCTCCCCAAGCACCCCAGGTACAGACGACAACACCGGGGCTCGGAGAGATTGGCACTTGCCCTTAATAGAACCAGGGTGCCCTCTGCCCCAGGCGTCGCTCCTGATCCTCCAGCCGCCTGGCCCCGTGTGGGGAGAAGTGGGTCCCTATTTTCTACGAGGGCAGCCAGGGTGACCCTGCCGGTCCCCGCAGGTCCCGCCCACGCGGCGCTTCTCGCACGAAGACGCGGACCTTTGGGCGGTGGTCCCGCTGCCGGCCTTCCTGCCGCGCTGGGGCTCGGGCGAGGACCTGGCCGCCCTGGTGCAGCCCGCGGGGCCCGACCGGCGCCGCGACAGCCT